ATCTTTATGACATCATAAAGTGGCCAAAATCTGATCAGCTCATTTTCAGACAGGTTTTTATAGAAATTGATCAAAAAGAGAGAGAATCTTTGTTCCTGAAACTTTCAGAGTCTCTTTCCACAAGAGGGGACACATGTTGATGTAGAAGAGACATGAAGAAGAGGGGACACATGTTGATGTAGAAGAGACATGAAGAAGAGGGGACACATGTTGATGTAGAAGAGACATGAAGAAGAGGGGACACATATTGATGTAGAAGAGACATGAAGAAGAGGGGACACATGTTGATGTAGAAGAGACATGAAGAAGAGGGGACACATGTTGATGTAGAAGAGACATGAAGAAGAGGGGACACATATTGATGTAGAAGAGACATGAAGAAGAGGGGACACGTGTTGATGTTTAGAAGAAATCAAAAACAGTGTGTTGGGACTCAAGGTAAAAAAGTCCCTAAATTAAATGTATGTTAAGAGAAAGTATGAAAAGTCGACTCCAGATGCTCTTGTGCTGCACAATTATTCTCATTATAATGACTCTAACACATATATTAATCTAACTTTAATTATATTAATGTAGACATTGTTGTATGTAGAGAGAGAACTAAAATAAGAACACATTGGTGAATCCCCAAACGTAATGGGTACTTAGAGAAAAGAACAAATGGACATGACCCAAACATTGGAGGACATCTCCTTTGTAAATCACTACTTGCATTGCTTAGAGGTTTTCCATATCACAAAAAGCTCATTTAACTTCATCCATATTATAGTTTAGGTTCTGCAACACAGATTCTGACTTGTGTGCAACTGCAGGGTTACATTACAAAAATAAACGTGTCTTATTACCTATAGAATAACAGGACCTGAATCACAGTAACTTTGCCAGTATAGAATATATGATATAAACCGATAGAGAATAATGTGTTTTATAATATGTTGTCGGTGTCCTGCAGCTCTGCCACCCTGCCGATCACTTTCCGTTGTCTGGAGGAAAACAACCGTGTGGACAAACGAGTGACTCGCTTCGTCCTCCCCGTGGGCGCCACCATCAACATGGACGGCACCGCGCTGTACGAGGCGGTGGCGGCCATCTTTATCGCCCAGGTCAACGACATGGACCTCAACTTTGGGCAGATTCTCACCATCAGGTAACCATACCTTACTTGGGGTTTTTTCCCTTTACTGTAGTGTTGTATATATTTTTAGATAGATAGATAGATAGATAGGTGATTGAATTGTGATCAGCTTTTAGATAATTGACAAAACATTATTTTCCCTCGTGCTTCTCTCCCTCCACTCCTCCCACCAGGAGTGCACATATGCTTCTTGTATGTTTCCCTGTCATTAAAATGTCTTCCCTCTCCTCAGCATCACGGCGACGGCTGCCAGCATCGGAGCAGCAGGCATCCCTCAGGCTGGACTGGTTACCATGGTGATCGTATTGACCTCGGTGGGACTGCCCACGGAGGACATAACTCTGATCATCGCCGTGGATTGGTTCCTGTGAGTTCCCACTAAATGTCAGCGTGATGGGGATTGGTTCTGAGGGTCTGAAGCCTAAATGTCACCGTGAAGCTTCAGAGGGGTTATTGATGCATAATGCAGAGAGCCGGATTAGAAGAGCCTCAGTTTGGAGGCACGTAGCACCTAAATATGTTAGCGTTTATTGAAAAATGTCATAGCAGTTGGACTTAACCCTGACCAAAAGTACAATTAAACCCAATTATGTTATAACGTAACCAATGTAAAACACTTTAGGGGTCGTACTGATTATGAAATCATTTTAATTCAAAGAAAGCATTTTTTTTATCAGAGATTTAAAGTGTGTAAGTAACATGTATGATAGTCTGAGTGTCATGTGAGCATATTGAACACACACTTTGGCACTGATTCAATATTTGGAAAGGTAAATGATAGGCTTAATGTGCAATTTGAAATGTTTGTCGACAGATGGCAAGTAGTATGTTGCTGTCAGGCAAAGATGCATTTAATTAAAATAACTCTCAGTGGGAAGTGAACCACAACTATGCTGATTGGACGCTGCTTTTGATAGAGTTAAGTGCACATTTTAATTTCAATTTGTACAAAGAAGTAAGTGTATATACTGCATGCTATCCATGTCATTCACAATTCGAACTTCAATTGACTCACACATTGCAAATAATGACCCACTTGTTGTGTAAAATACAACATCCTAAAGATTTCTGTGTCAAATTAAAAAAAAACAGGAATCAAAACAACATAACAGAAGAAAATAGACCCAAAAAAATAAAAAGAATCAAAAAATTCAACTGTCATTATTTGTACCCATATTGCAAAAGAATAAAACAATAGTTTATCCGGTTAATTACAGTCCCCAAGCTTGCTTAAAGAAAGGTCTAAATATATTACATTTGAAAGCATTTATACATTATTTAATAATAATAATAATAATAAATTATATTTATATAGCGCCTTTCAAGGCACCCAAGGTCGCTGTACATGGTGGACAAACAAAACAAACAGACAATCAACGGGCAAACCAAAAAATAAAAGAAGCCTGGGGACCAAGAAAGGGCTAGGGCCCGAAGGCCAGCGTGAACAGGTGTGTTTTTAATGAGGATTTGAAGATGTCCAGGGAGGCAGTGCATTCCAGAGGGTGGGGGGCCGCAACACTGAACGCCCTGTCGCCAACCGTTCGGAGGCGAGAGCGGGGGATGGAGAGCAGGCCCGTGTCTGAGGACCGCAGACTCCGAGAAGGGGTGTAGGGATGGAGGAGGTCCGATGAGTACTGGGGGGCGAGGGTATGGAGGGACTCGTACGTGAGGAGGAGTGTTTTGTACTGAATCCGGGACAGCCAGTGGAGGTGGATGAGGGTGGGGGTGATGTGTTGCCATGGATTTACATTTTAACCTGTGTATAAGGCAAGTTTATACAGCACCTTTCAACACAAGGCAATTCAAAGTGCTTTACAAAAATGAAAGATACTAAGAAATAGTGCGGCATAAACATATTATAAAATGGCATTTTAAAACACGAAGATAATAAAACATGAATAACACAGTTACATGAATCCAAGTTACAGTGCAGTGTAATTAAAAGCAGCGGACCTGTAGAGTTTGCTCCAGATATTTGGAGCATAATGCAAACCAGTCTCACGGCATTTCGTGTTATAGTCACAGAATTAATTTAATCTATTGATTCGTGTTCACCAACATGATTTTTGAATTTTTTTCGTGTCACAGAACGATTTTAAAAGCAATGTATTTCTATTGGTATATGTTTCGTGCCTGCACCACGTCTTTTTGCCCGGTCAGGTCTTGGAAGACCAGAAGCTGTGTGGTTCATAAAAACATGTTCTTACTCTATATCTTACCCTAAGCCTTTTATTTTAAATTGTATAATGTCAGAGTTTTTTTGCCGTCCGCGAGGAAAATAAATGTGGCTCAGAGCCTCAGAATACGGACATCTGTATTTCTTAATATCTTTTTCCTTCTAATTTGTTATTATTTCCATTGCTTTTAATCGTTTTGTGTGACACGAAAAAAATGGTGGGTTCGTGTTGCCGTGAGACTGTGTTGGAATCATAACTGAACTTCTCCATGTTTAGTTCTGACTCTGACAGAAAGCAGAACTGAGAGATCTGGATGGTTCATAATTTAGCAGTCGATCATAAAGCAGATATACATCAACATTTTCCCTATCCGTACACAGCTACAGTACATTTCTCTTCTCCTGACCCCCTCTCTTTGTAGGGACCGCCTGCGCACCACCACCAACGTGCTGGGTGACTCTCTGGGTGCGGGGATCGTGGAGCATCTTTCCCGTAAAGAGCTGCAGAGTCAGGACGCCGAAGTGTGCAACTCTGTGATCGAGGAGAACGAGAAGCCCTACCAGCTCATCTGCCAGGAGAACGACTCACTCAACCACCGCAACAGTGAGACCACGATGTGAAGACAAGAGCTACAAGGGATTCATGCACCAAGTTTAGATCGAAGGTTGACGTGCAATGGTGCAGAGGTAGTCTTAAAGAAATAATAGTTCATGGTCTAATCTGCCAATGGCTTCGGGTTTGAAGTTATCAGTTCAGATGAAATCCTTTCTTCAAGTCTAAAAACAAAGTTCTCCGGGAAAGGAAATACAAATGACAGCCGGTTGGTTTGCTTGTTAGGAACGGTTACACACAATGCCTATAATAACATATCCCTTTGCCTGCAGTGCCGGTTATTTGGAGGTATTTTGCTATTTGAGCATCAATTTCAGCAACACAGTTTTCACATAGTCCTTAAACGTCATCATGTTTTCAAAAATGTACATAATTTACGATACATAAAGTCAAAGCAGCATAAGCTCCTTACCAGTGTCAGAGAAACACCACCATTCGTAAATTAAGAGCGGATTTGAATATGCTTTTTGCATTGCATGACTTAACACAAACTCATTCTCACTACGACTACCTCTAGATATGGAGCCTCCGTGCTACACGCAGAAATACTCAATGGAGATGGAAATACTTCAGTCTTGTTTTTTTAATATATTTTTTGTTATTTAAGTTTGCTTGCACAAGTTACCTGTACAATTTGAATGTACTTGACCGTTAAACAATGTTAAAGTTTGATGTGAAGGAGAGTTGATGCATTTCTAGCAACTTGTGTTTTTCACTCAGTGCTTTCTATTATACTAGTGTGTATTTCCTCGGTGCTATTGCTTTTTTATCGGTAAATGACTGTTCTGTCATTTTACAGGAATACCTGCCAAAGTTAATTTAGTAGAAATGATCCAACAATGAATGTGCAAAACTTTCTTTTCTCTTAGGTATTATCCATAACTAGATGTCTTTTTCACTGATTTATAAAGTAATAACACCTGTAGTTTCAATGTCATTGAACCTTAGAGGACTTTTAGACACCTGTCCACCTGCCTGTGTGTGTTTTTTGCTTTTTAATTCACATTAACATTTAATTTAGTTATATTTGGACTAGAATGATACATAGCATATATTGCAAGCTTATGATTGTTTGAGTTTGATTGTTGTGTGAAAAGGTACTGTGAAGACAGTTTGTGAACGCCCTGAGAAAGTGAATGTTGCTTTATGCCTTTTGGTGTTGATAGATTTAGAGCGAATTGTAGTGTATTATTTTGAAAGTTAGATAGCATTTAAAGCTCCTCTTAATGTGTGTCACATGTAAGCTCACTAGAGATTTGTCTTTAGTTTTGAAGTTTGGTGTTATTTCAGTAACAAGCTCTACATTTTGATGGTCAGCTTATGAAAAAAATGTGACAAATAAATGGCTCAGGAATTGAACTGAAGTGCTTATTATTGTGTTTGTGGCTACCCCTGGTGGAGGATATGTCCAGAAGCTCAGAGACACACTTCGGTCAAATTAAATATGGGAAAAATAGCTTGAATTGTAAAATAATTACATAAATTCTGTTTTTGAAGAATCTTACGTTGCAAAGCTGTCTTTTGAAACGCTCACTTACTGATGAATTTCCAGAAAACCTAGTACCTAGTTTTCTTCATTCACATGTAGGAAAGAGTACTCAACTTTAAGTAAACAACTTTAAGTAAACAAGGGTTAAAAAAAACCTTTTCTAATTTTCTTAATTCCAAGCAACAGTTGGTTTACACAGCATGTTAGCATTTTTGGAAGCAAATGCTAAAGGTAGCATGCTTTAATGCTCCATACAACTAATACAATGCAAAAAAATATAGGCTATACTGTAAATAAACAGTAAGTAAAATGATTTAAAAAATACTAAGTTTGACTATAAACACTAAAGTTAAACACAAAGTTGCCCACAGCTGTTATTAGTTTGACATAGGCCTATGTCTTTTTGGCATTAACCCAACTAGGCATATAAATAACCAACCTGATGACACTGCTAAATTAAACGTTAATTAATTATGGTTCCTCTTACACATGAGTGTTTGTACCAAATTTCATTTCAATAGTTGTTGGATATTTCACACAGAAATAGTGCAATATCATGCGATATATTTTCACTTTTCCCCACCCTTAAAGTGTTATTCTCAACCTGGCCACCAGATGCCTATAAAGTAATCTGCTCTTTACCTACCTTAGTCCCCTCACCTGAGTTTCCCCGCCCCCCTCTCCACACCTGCAGTTATTCCTCATCAGCCCATACCACAGCCCCTTTTTACCAGTCAGTTGTCAGATTGTAAATCATTTATCTCTTGCAGTCTTTCTTTGCTAATTAAAGCAACACAATTGAACTATTTTAACCCAAGAAATAAAAAAATCATTTTCAGCCTATTTTGGTAATATCATATTTTACAAAAATAAATTCCACAGAGTTTCCTGTTGGACAGAAAGCTTTCCTTGTTGCTAAAGTAACGCTAACTACTAACTGCTAACTGCCAACTACTGACTGCCAACTACTAACTGCCAACTACTAACTGCTAACAGCCACTTACTAACTGCCAACTACTTCTGCTAACAGCGAACTACTAACTGCCAACTACTAACTGCTAACAGCCAACTACTAACAGCCAACTACTAACTCCAAATAACTGCCAAAGTTACTAACAGCCAACTACTAACAGCCAACTACTAACTGCCAACTACTAACTGCCAACTACTAACAGCCACCTACTAACTGCCAACTGCTAACTGCCAAAAAACTGCCAAAGTTACTAACAGCCAACTGCTAACT